TCATAATAAAGAAAACAATATTCATCCAATCACTTACACAAGATTTCTCTTGGATTCGGCTATATAAACATTTTCTCTGTTATGTATGAAACATGTTATTGTAATAAAAAAAATCATTTCACTGGGTGCCCCTGGTGGCCCATCCGAGACAAATGGGCACTACGAGCTTGTTCACAGGACTATATTCTTCTCATGAAATTTTGCATTACCAAATGGAAAAGAGCCTGTCCTATGTTATCCATAGTCTCATGAATTCCATCATTGAGGAATTGCATCGTTGCTTGTCTGTTGACAAAGACCTTATCTTTCATGTAACCCCAAAGGAAGAAATTGAAAGGTCTTAAATCATAAAATCTTGATGTGACCACCTCTGCATACACGACGTTGTCGATGAGCGGTCGACTTGAGTTCTAGTCTTAACTGACCATTTTAAGTCGTTCCACCGAAGTCTTTATGCATTGCTGAATACATCTAGCTATATGTGCAAAGTTCGGTTCTGTTCAAAGATGACCCCAAAAGACTGTAGTATGTAGGGAAAAATGGGGTACATACTTTAATTTTTGTCCCTTTTTCTGGTCGCGCTCTGGAGATCGCAAAAATAATTCACAAGGGAAAGTTGACCCTCACTGTTCTGATAATGACGGGTCCACATTTATCGGATCAAATAAAACATTTCTTATTATTACATACATTTTCTATGCGGGAGGACATGATTTGGAAAAGTAGAAAGAGTATGATGGTTGAACTCTGATCTGCAATGTTAATAAAGCATAAAATCTAACATTTAGGAAATATGTATTCTTTCTGGTTCCTCTTAAGGATGACATGGAGACTTTGCAAACCATTTCAAACTATATTGTCTGTAAAATTTAGGCAGAAGACAAATATTTGTATATAAATCTACGTCTATGGAAATAAATTTTAATTTTATATAATCAAACTCCTAGTTTCTATTTATATATAAATACATATGATGTCTTCTAGGTATAAATGCCCCAAGGGCTTATGTAAACAATTCACGAATTTCAATGAAAAATTTTCCTATTTACATTGCAATGTTGGCGTTATGTACATGAAGGAGGAAATGGAAATTGTTGGTTCGTAATATTCCTCTCTACCTACCTACCTACTGCTCTCTCATGACTAATCTCTATGAACATAGTAACCAACAATAGCACGTCTTATGTATATAAAATGTTTTCGTATAAATTGCAGTTTTTATATACCAGCCAAGCAAAGCAGTGGAGAGGGGAGGGTAGACGATACAATTATTTAGTACATACACAATATGATATATAAAGATTTAATCGACACTCTACAGCTGCCGCTGCTGCAAATGCCTTTGGCACAAAAGCAAAAAACCAGACAATATATACATACGGAGGATGACAACCAAACACACACACATACCAACAAGCGATGTCATATAGCAAAAACAAAAGTAAATGAATTACCAAAGAATGAGCATAAAGGCAACATACAACATAGAGCAGTTCATACGATACAGCCAGAGAGGGTAACATTACAAAAATACATGGCCACAGCTAGTACATAACGACAAGACAACATACAAAAATACATACATATTGAGTGCGGCAGAGTAGTGAGTTTTATGACCAAATATCAGCTACAAAGTGAAACGACCTTTTAGTATCAAATCAACGACGCTTACAAACGGTTCGTGCGAGCAAAACATAGGCGCATCATCCAACAGAAATTCAACAAACAGACGCACACACGCCAATGTACCAATACATGTACGCCACAGCACAGCAAGGATAAACAGAACAGCATAAATTTGACAAACCAAACAACTGGCGCCTTCGTTCGTGGATGTACATAACGACGCGATAACGAAACCGAAAAAACACCAACAACAGAAAAGAGAAAGAGAGAAACTACTGGCAATTGAGTGAGTCAGTGAGTGGCGAATGAGTGAAATGTATTTATGTGGCAAATGAGAGTGCCTGTATTCAGAAGAGTAAAAGAGACAGAGTTATCTATAAACGGCAAGAGTAAATGAGATAGCCATATTGAATCGCAGCAACAAAAAAGTCAATAACTCCAACAAACGGAGCTCTTTCGCGCTACCTAAACGCCACCAACAGATTGACTGCACATACGCGTTTGGCATATACCAAGCCAAAATATAAGCAAGTATATAAGCCGTTGGTTATGTACAACGGAAAAGTGAGCAGAGGAGCATATGCAACGCGTTGTTTGACGATTTCGAAAACATTTCAACGCGGAACGTTGAGCTGTAAAGACGTAAACGGAAAAACTATAAAGAATATTTTTTTGTGAAAAATACTCAATACATAGTGTTTATAATTAAAAAATATTTACAAAAGTTATAAACAAAAAAAAATAAATTACTTAATGAAAAATATTTACAACAAAAAAATTACTAAAGAAAATTATCAAAATAATTAAACGATTAAAGCAATTTTTTGATACTTCGTGTGTGAGAAGTGGTGGAAATATTTCTTCACATAAAACCAGCCTCGTTTAAAATATTCGAAGAAACAACTCAAAAGTGAAGTGGAGAGACAAAAATAATCACCATTGAAAACGGAATGCATGATAACTAAATAAATGCGTTGTATGCAAGTCACAATTGTTGTAAATGTGTGAGTGTGTGTGTGTGTGTGTGAAGACTACCCATAGTGGTGGTGATGGTGCACTGTGATGTGAAAAACAAAACAAATAGCATACACACAAAAAAGAAAAAGTAAAAGAAGAAACGAAAACATTTGTGTTTGTTCATATTACAACAAAAAACAAAAGAAGAAAATTAAAAAAAAAATAATTTTTTGAAAAAGAAAAATACGAATATAAAAAAAATATTGTGAAAGTTTGTGGAAACCACAGCTTAAAAAAAAATTACCCCCCTTGGATTACATATTTGGATTACTTTACAACATTTATTGGATTACCTACTTACCCCTCTATCATTTTCAACAACAAAAACAAAACTCACATTATGGATTACTATTTGGATTATTTTCATTTTAACACAAATTTGGATTATATACTTCATTGATTAATGGTAAGTTTGTTATAAAATAGTTTGCTAACTTTTTAAAGTAAATATTAATTTTTTTTTATTTCTTCATTTTCTGAGCATTTCAAAACTCCACTTCTTTTTTTGGTTTCTTTCTCCTCATTCTGTTAATTTTTCCACCACTTCTTCAAAACATAAACAGAAAAACACATTTTATATAGGCAAACACCACTCACACATACGCACACATTCTCATTATTTCCCTAATGCCATTACTTTTTTTTTTTTTTGTTATTTTCGTAACGTAGCAAACAAATTAAAACTCCAGCTGTAGCTGTGTTGTGTGTGTGTTTATCATCTTCTGCTGTTACAGAAAACCCAAAAACAAAATTTCAAATAAAGCAACGAAGAAACACTCGTCGTTTCAAACAACTAAATAAACATAAATTCTCTTTTGTGCCTCTGCTTCGTCTTTTTCCATAATTGTTGTTGCCTGTTTCTGCCTTTGCTGCCCTATCATTTTGTTGTCTTCTCTGTTTTATGTTCTCTTTCGCCTCTCAGCTCACATTATGCTGTTGTGTGTCGTGTTGTTTATAAAAATGAAAAACGCCGCAAACATTTCCAACAACACCAAAGGCGCGCTCTTTGCCTGCAAGTAATGCCAATATTATTTGCAGAAAAAACGCCAACATATATTTTTTTAATTCTTGATGATGTTGGGGATTTCTTTGCAAAATATTTTAATTTCGGCGCCAAAACTCGAACAAAAATAGGAAAAATAATACGAATTTTCTCTAAAAAATATATAAAAACGTTTATATAGACTATTATAACTATAACATAATCTAGAACAACCGGGAGTTTTTTTAATTTCTTTCATTAAAATATTAAACTATAAAATTAATTCTAACAAAATGATATGTTGATCACATAATCAAGCTTGTTCTTGTTTCGTGTCAATTTTGTTGATATGACGTGTTTAGAGTTAATGCCCGGTATTCCAAATATTTCAATAAATTGTTACAAAATAAACGATAAAATAGCCACATTTATTTCGTTCATGCCAAAGGTTAGGTAAAATTTTTTTCCTCCCCAAAAATCTTGCTTTCTTCTCCCTACAACTTTCACAATATTTTACCCCCATAATTTGTTGATTTGGTAAACTTATTTAGATGTTGATAATAATTTTGAAATAATAGAAAAGAAAAATCCCGGAAAACATGAAAAATATTAGAATTTTCCCCCATTTAAAAACATTGCATTCCCCATTAACATTTTCCCATTTGAAGTGTATTTACTAAAATCCACCTACATTTTATGTATTTATTCTCTTTATTTTATATTTATTTGCCTTTACTCTTTATTCCCATATTTTGTACATCATTTTTCGTTTTTGTTACCTTTAATCTAATCTTGAAAACCTTCCACAAAAAATTTACAGTTTCAAAATATCAAATTTCGTTGGCGAAAAACGCAAAACCCAAAAACATACACGGAATTTGTGACACAGAATTATGTCCCCAGTACCGCTACCTGTGGCCAATACAGCAGCATTAACGGCAGCAACAGCAGCTTCGGCGTCATCCACAACAACAACGACAACAGCCATCCACACAAATACAGTCAACATGGCAAATTCTAATACATCCTACAGACAAATGGCACAGGCAACAACAAATGGTGGCCACATAAATGCGACGGCTGTTGCCACGGCGGCATCATCGACGACGTCGAACCCAACTAATGTACAAGCAAATAAATTAAAAATGGCAACATCCACCACCAATACATTGGCAAACAGCTGCATTTCAGCTGAGGCCACTTTGCAACAATGCGATAGCAGCAGCGCCGCCAGTACCACTTCAGAACACAGCTCAGCATCATCATCATCGTCCTCCTCCTCTTTGTCGTCATCGGCACTAAGTGTCAAGAATGAAAATTGTGATACGGTGATAAAAACCGAAATGGAAAACAGCGAGAATGCTCCAGTCGCCGATTCATTGCAAAATGACGGCAACGATCTACAACAGTTGGCAGCTATGAAACACCGGCCCATACTTTTGAGCTCCATGAATCCGCATATTATTTGTAGTTTATGTTTTGGCTATCTGATAGATGCCACCACTATTGTGGAATGTTTGCATTCATGTAAGTATAATCTCTCACGTGTATTGTTGTTGGTATTTTTTTCATGCATTCATTCAAGGCCAAGGTGATATGTTCCTGAACAAAAGGCCTTGGCCTCATTTGGTTTTCTCTTGGTTTTTTTGTGTTTTGCAAATCTTTAAATTGTGTTTGAAGGACTCTATGGGAAAAAAGCAACCCTTAAAACAAGGATCTAAATCGCAAAATGATTACATTTATTAAAGATTCTTATCAAAATCTTGATAGAAGCAGAGATATTTCAAAACATTGGCTGGGTGTTTAAAGAAACATCCCTTCAAATTTCACTCTCGGCCTTAAGGTCTCCAGAATAAAGGGGGACCTGTTACAAACCCAATTTAATGGTAATTTTGTAAAATGATTAATGGTCCTTCGAGTTACGATTTCACCAAAATATCAATAATCCCCATTTTTCAATTAATCGGAAAGAGTTTAAATTGTTTCTCATAAACTAGTTGATCAAAAACATGATTTAATGTAAGAAATTAATAGGTCCATTAGGGATTATCGGAATACATGCATCGTTTTTATATTCCGATATTTGACCAAGGACATTAACTATTGACTTCATATACAAGTCTTTCCATATAAGCTATTATTGATATAGAATAAATCTGGAGATGTAAAAAATGGATTCAATTTCTTTCTTGAGCCATACATAATTTAAAGATTGCTGATTACCATATCAATAAAATATTTTCACTTTTAAACTATTATTAATAATCGATATTTTCCTTTCATTATTTTTCTATTTACAGTTTGTCACAGTTGTTTAATTAAACATTTACGTACGGAACAATATTGTCCACGATGTGAAATGATGATAAATACCGCAAAACCAAACATAAAGTAAGTATAGAAAATATGCAATTGACAGGGTTAACCAAAAATGGAATGATACAAATTTGGAATTAAAAAAATCGAAAACAAAAAATAGAGGAATTTTCACAATATTTTTTTAAGTTTACAATGGAAATAGAAACCCTTTGAAAACTTAATAAATATATTTGTGTTGTATTTCCATACATTCCTTTTTGACACACCCTATAGTGAAATAGTGAAATAAAGAAAATTAAAACAACACTTCAATACACTGTCATGTCACATAGCGCCAAATTAAAATTACCGACGGCAATTTTCAATGCGTCTATTTTTTTTTTCTCCCCTTTGTGCGATGCAGTTGAAGAAATTATACAATTTAAGAAAATTAAATTCCAAGAATGGTGTTACAAAAGTAAGATTCTTAAGGACAGACAGACACTATGCAACAACTACAAACATTCATTAAAATTGTATAAAACCAGACAGGAACATTTCAAACAACAGCAACAACAACAAACACAACCATGACTGACTGACAAACAAACACTCGACTATGAAATGTATTATGAACATTGTACGGAATGACGGTGGTGACGTCGAGGACGGACGACTATGACAGGGTGATAGTTTTCTTTTCTTTAGGCATTACCAAAGCAGCAGCATTGTTGTTGAGGAATGCAAACACCCTGAATTTTCTCCAAGAAGTAATGAGCCTTATAATGAAAACATCTGCGTCAACATTTCATTGCACACCACACACTCTATCCAGTCAGTCAGCCAGCCAGCCATTCGAGTAAAAGTCTGTCCGTCCGTCCGTCCGTCCTCTATCATTTAACCATCTAAAAATTAAAACTAACACAGCAAACAAAACTTGGTGCCTAAAACTCACACACTCTTACCCAGAAGACCCAAATTGTATTATTTTTATTGTGTGTATGTGTTTTAAGGATGAAACGGCGGACGGACAGACAGACTATAATTCCAGTTTTGTTCATTAGTAGTATTTTACCGTCCTTTTCTTCAGCGTCACTTCTAAATGATGATATTGGCTTCTTCATTGGCGGCGACAATGTCATGCTGTTTACCTGTTTAGCATGGTTCACCGTTAGTATTTCTCATTTCTTCTTCGTATTCTACTTAAGCCCTGCATTTGGTTTCGCCCGAACCCAGCCGTTGGCTGGCAATAATCTTTTGGGAAAATCAGCATTGACAAATGGCAAAAAATAAAATATTGAAAAGAATCCCTTTTCTGCGTCTGGATTATTTAATAATTTCTTCTTTTGTCACTCGTGTCTCGTGTCATTTCCAGGCCAGATACAACATTACAGGCTATTGTTTATAAACTTGTGCCCGGTCTCTATGAAAAGGAATTAATGCGTAAAAGAGCCTTTTATAAGGATCGTCCCGAAGAAGCCGCCTTAGCCTCACCCGAACAAAGAGGCGATGATACTGAGCATTTGATTTTTAGTCCCTCCGACTATATGTCAATCTCATTGGAATATGCAGACACAGAGTAAGTATTAATGAATGAACAAAACACCCCTTCCCCCAAAAGGGGGAGGGGAACACATCCTTCCCACAACGAAATCCCCGTGCAATCTTTACTAATTTCACAATCTTCTTTCCTTTTCTTTTTCTGCTTACAGAGAGCTATCCCAATCCGGTCCCGAATATATTGAATTGCTAAAGCCCCGTTATCTTAAATGTCCCGCCATGTGTACCGTTGCCCATTTGAAGAAATTGGTTTATGGTAAATTTGAAATCAATGCCAATCGCTTTACCATTGACATTATGTACAAAGTAAAGACCATTATCCTACTGGACCATTACACCCTTATGGATGTTGCCTATATATACACCTGGAAACGCGATGCTCCCATGCGTTTCTATTTCCGTGTCAAACAATCTCTTAAACCCACAATACGAGTAAAGAAAAATCTTGTACCTCAAACCAAGAAAGAAGTGCCCTTGCCCGATGAGGAAGCCACCAGCAAATTGCTTTCCCAGGCCATGTGTATTGTACATGAACCCACACCTTCCATTAAGGCTGCTGTTCCGGATACGAAAATCTTGGAACCCGAAGAAATTAAACAGGAAAATGAAGCTGAAGTGTCGTCCACAACAGAAACCCCACCCATTGCCCAGGAGGAGGAAGAGCCTAAGCAATTTGAAATTGTACAACCCCAAAGTCCTTCCATTAGCTCACAAGAATCCAACCTTACGGATAAACTCAAAATTACAATTGTCAACAAAGCTGCCAAGGAGAAATCAAGTGAGTCCAAATCTGCCGCCAAGGCCTTAAAAGAAAAACAAAAGGAATTCCACAAAACCTCACCTTCAACCTCGGCCACACCCAAGGACGAACGTAAGGTGGAGAATATCAAATTGAAAATTGATCTCTCTAAACAAAATTCCGTCACCATTATCAACATGTCCGATCCAGAACGCAAGGAAATTGTAAAACCTGTACGTCCAGAAAAGGAATGGAAAGTAAGCAAATCGAAGAAGGAGAAGGATGGCAGTCCGAAGTCGTCGCCCAAATCTTCACCTCACAGTGACCGCAAGAGTAAAACTCCAAGTCCGCTAACAGTGCCACCTCTCACAATAAAAGCTGAACGTATTAGCCCCTTGGCGAAACTCAGCTCCCCTGCCACACCAGCCCCCGCAAGTCCCACTGAAAAGCCTGACGAGGAACAAAAATCTGAATTTTTGAAATCGTTTGCCCTAACCCCCACCAAAAGTGTTAAAGCCGATAAGCCCAATGAACAACAAAGAAATATTTCTAAGGACGTTACGCTTTCTTTCGTACCAAAAACCTCTGCCAAAGAACAATCTTCGTCGCCCGCTTCGTCTTCTTCGTCGAAGCGTAAGAGCAAGGAACCCATTAAAGCTGTTATCAAAAAGCCTAAACTATCACCTCCTTTGGCCACAGAGGACTTCAAAATCAAATTGCCACCCATTCCCTCCAATAACAACTCAAAACCTACGGACAATACAACTTCAAGTAATGCAACAGCCGCCAACCCTAGTGAGAGCAAGAAAACAATGATGCCACCACCGGCGCCTTTGACAGTAATGAAGCCACCATCTCTGATAAAGAAACCCTCCAAACCCGCTCAAAATAAAATATCTGCCGCTCCTCCCGGCTCTCTCACACCTCACCCAATGCATAACAACAATGTCCAGTTAGCAGCACCCGGCAGCCGTACTCCAATTGCCAAAAGGTATCAGCCAATTTTACCCAAAGCTTCCCGTCCAAATCCCTTCGCTAACATCCCCACAGATGTTAACAAGATTCTCAAGGATGCCGGTACCGAAATTAAGAGCATACCGAATGAACCGGTCTCCTCCAAAGTATATGGTCCCAAGGCAGATGCTAACAACAGTACACTAATGGGACCACCACCCATGGCTGCACCTCCTGCCAAGACTAATGCATCAAGCCGTAGCGGTGGCAGTTCCAGCAAAACAAACTCTAATAAAAACAACAGTTATTTGAATCTGGCACTTTTCAATGCCTCGAAATCGAAGGGCAACGAAGTTCCACCTGGTTGCCGAACACCCATGTATACACCAAACTCGCCCATTTACTCACCCAGCTCACCACAATATGTTCCCAACTACAATATACCGACCATGCCTACTTACAAATACACACCAAAGCCTACCAATCCCAATAATTCGTACCTGCAAAGTGTTTTGGGCAATAACAGCCAGATGTCCAGTCTCTTCCCCAGCCCACCTACCAAGAAGGATGGAGGTTCCAACAACAACAATGGCGGCAACAACAATTCCTCTTCGTCATCGTCTAACAATTCCAGCAACTCCAACAATTCGAACACAACATCGCACAGGGCTGAAAACCAGGCACCTAAGCGGGTATATCCATTCGCACGCAGTCCCAGTCCAAGCGAAGATCCCCCAGAGAAACAATTGAAAGTAAAATCTTTACTCACATCCTGCAACATCAATATTCCCTCTTCGTTGTCCATAACCATTACTCGGGAGGATGGTGATCCTTCGTCAAATGGTTCGGCACAAAAACACAAAAGTCCTGTGAATAACTACATTGAGATTTTGAAGTTGCCCGAACAGACTAGCGACAACAGTGAGAATAAACGCGCATCTCCACCAGCCGCTAATTCATTGTTTCCCAATCCCCCCGTAAAACGGGTGGCAACCCCTCCCCTAAATACGACCACAAGCCAGCCAAAGTTACTTCCCCCACCCGCGCCAATTACGAATATGCAGAAACCACCTGTTGCAGCCAATCAAGCTGCCAACAATGTGGTAAACAATAAACCAGCAACTCCCCTAAATATGGGCAAGAATAATAATGGCATGAATAAACCTGTTGCCAACAACAAACCTACCACACCACCCACGAACAATAAGTCGCCTGTAGCACCTATGGACAAGAAAGCCACACCCAGCCCCGAAAAGCGGCCCATGACTAGTCCTGGCGATCAAAAATCTCCCAAATCGCCAAACGGAGATGGTACCGGCAAGAAGTTCAGGCATATTCTGCCGCGACAAATTGCCACCCCCTCCACCCCTGAGGTTAATCTGCCCACCAACAAGCAAAACGGCAATGTCATTGGCACCTACTCATCGCCGAATGGTGTCAATGTCAAAATACATTCCAACAAGAAGGTACAACCAAGTAAGAAATCCCCAGTCAGTCAGCAACAGCAGCAACAACAACATATGTCGGCACCACTGCCCGCAACAGCACACCAGCAGCAAACATTGGTAAATTTGAAGCCTCCCCAACAGTCGCCCACCAACAAGACACAAACCAAAGCCCCCGCCAAATCTCCACAAGGCAGTCGGGCACAGAAAACAAATCAAGCACAAGCTCAGGCCCAAGTACAAGCTGCTGCCGCCGCCGTGGCAGCTGCCAATGCGGCAAATAAACTGAGTCCTTCGCAGAACAACAATGGCATGCCACCATTGCCACCTGTTATGCCACATCCCATGCAGGGCATGTTGCCACCACATTTGGGGGCAGCAGCTGCTGCGGCCAATCAAAATGAGTTGAGTAAATTTCTTAAAGAAAATTTGCTCCGAGCTCAGGTACAAGCTGCCGTGGCCAATCAATCAAACATGTTCTATCCGTACACTGCGAATGCTGCCGCTGCTGCTCAACTGGGTCAATTTAACCCCGCCATGTACAACTACCAGCAAGCCTACATCATGGATCAGTTGTCACGCATGCAAAGAGCTGGCAATGATGCCTTCACCGAATACATGCAGAAGTTGAAGAGCAGCATGGAAATGCAAAAGCCGGCAGGCGTCGACAACAACAAGCCATGTGCTGATGCCAAACAATTGCCGAAATCAGCCTCTAGTCCCAAATCAATGTCCAGTGCAGCACCACACAGCCCCTCAACATCGGCAGGCAATCAAGGTGTCAACACCAAGGAACAGCTAGCGACAAAGACCAAGTAAATCAAAGAGCGATCGGCGGTGATGTTACCCCATTTGTGGGGAAGTAATATCGAAAAAATAAAAGGAATCAAATTCCTTGAAAAAATTATAAATTATCAAAAGAAAAAAAAAGAAGATTAATTTGTGTATGTTTCCTTAAACCACCCACTCTCCTAGGTTTTTAAACTGTACGATTAAGTGTTATTTATTTTAATGTATTAGTTCTATAAGCTCTCATTTTTACGCTCAAAAAAAAAAACTAATCGTTTTTATTGGAATCGCTTGTTTTGTTTTTTAGGGAAGCCTATCTTCCCCTCTCATAGCATTTAAGGCGCTTTTGTTTTAATTTTAGAGTTCGTTTTTTTAAATCATTTTTCAATGAGCGTTGCATTCAAACTCTCCGAGTATTATAGCGTGTACATAAAGACAATAGACATTAAGTATTCTTAGAAAATACCCTGTATAAATTGTACAAAAGAAGTATGTAAATAATTTCAAACTAAAGACTTTATAGTTTTAATGTGAATTTAAAAAGAAAAGAATATTGATAATAAACAAAAACTCCAAATATTTTTATGAAAACATTTTTCGTTTTATTTGGTGGCATTCCCTTCTTTCGGCAGCAATCATCCTCATCTCAACAGCAGACGCGTCTATTTTACCCTCAGAACAACTCCACTTATGCCAAAGGCAATCTTCTTCTTCTTCTTGACAAAAATCCTTCAAAAGATCTTCATATCACAATGAGGGTCACAATACACTCACCCGTACACACACACACACCAACCCAAGCTCACACACAGTGCGACGATTTTCATTGTCGATGACAATAATAATGCGCTACGCTGCTGACGATGATTAAATTTCTGATGATTTATGTGCGTGTGTTCGGTTCTGCCTGCTTTGCTAGCTGACAAACTCGCTGGTTGTTATGGTCTAGCCTGGGTCGGTCTTTTACTGCACACATGCGACAAATGTTGTTGTTGTTTGCCCATAACAAAAATGAAATAAAAAGAAATAAATATCGCCTTTCAATGCGGCGCACATAATCCGCACAGTGTTACGAAATTGAACGTATTGTGTAGAAAGCATTTGAAAATCTGTCGATTATAAAGGAATAAGGTTGAGAACATTAGGAAAGAATCATACTTCGTTCCTTCCACATTTATCCCCAAAATACTTTTCTAATGTTCTCAACCGTAGGTCACATAAAGTCAATGCTAAGGTAAGAGACAGTTCTTTTAGAAAAACTTATAATGCCTCATACGGGCACCGTTTTAAGTATATTGATGGTCCTACGCAGGTCCACCTTAAAGTGGAGTCTATGATAAATTTGTCATTCCGTTTGCAAAACCTCAAAATATTCACCGGAGACCACATAAAGCATATACGTACTTAGCTGGCAGAGGGAGAACATTTGTTCCATAAACCGAGCTTAAAAAAGATTTCCAGGTGTATCGATCTTGTGTGCAGTTTTCCAATTTGAAAAACAATATTTCAATATGTTATTTTCCACTTGATCTTTCCATGTTAGTCTTGGTCTTCCCCTTCTCCGTGAACAATCAGTAGGCTCGCTTTTATATACCTTCGGAGCTGGGACATCCTCATCCTCGATCCCCATCCCCAGCTCGATAAGTCTGACTTTGTCGATGTCTATGTACGACAGATCGACCCGTACATCTTTTCGAAAAGTATTCGACCCATTATGTCGATGTCATCAGCATAGGCAAGTAGCAGTGTTGTTTGGTGTACAGAGTGTCATTTCCGTTTACCTTTGCACTCCTTTTCCTGTTCGCTCTCAAGACATTATTTGTCATCAGCATAGGCAAGTAGCAGTGTTGTTTGGTGTAAAAAGGACATTTTCCAGCAGGACGTTAAAAAGGTCACACCATAAACTGACACCTTGTCTGAACCCTCGTTCCGCATTGAATGTATCCGAGAGGTCCTTTCCGACTTTATCCAGTTAAAATTATCCTGCATAGCCGTATTAATTTTGCAGGAATGCCGAAAGCAGACATGGCTTTAAGCTCAGGGCTGTTGAATGCGGCTTAATAGTTCGAGGGTCTTTTCCAGGATTTGCCGCAGTGTAAAAATCAGGTCTACGGTGGATTTGTGAGGTCTGAAATAGCATTTGTATGGTCCAATAATGTCATTGGCCGTTCAGTCGTTCACATAGCACGCTGGATAACACTTGATATGCGATGTGAATGAGACTAATTCCCTTATAGTTGGTACACATCGTCCTGTCTCTTGTGCACTGGACACAGGATGCTGAAGATCCAATCAGTGGTCATACATGCTCAGTTGGTTCATGCTCCTAACCAGCATCTGACCGCCGGCTTTGAATAGTTCAGCTAGTAACATGTCAGCATGTAACATCTGCTGTTTTATTATTCTTCAGCCGATTGATTGCTATTCTGTCATCTCTTTTTGCTTCTGGGGTATCTTCTCCACCGCCACTATTTGATACCTCAGCACGCTATCTCCATCTGTCAATAAGTTTCCTTCTTCATCTGGGGGATGGCCTGCACCAAATACCTCGGTTTGGTTTTTTAATCGTTGTTAAAATTTCCGGACTTTATTCTGACTCCTGTACATCTCGATTTGCTCACGTTCTTCTTGGTCCTTCTTCTTTTTTCTGAAAATACGTTTCTCCTCTCTCCGTTTCAATAAATATTCTTCAGAATAAAATTCTATGCCGATGCATAAATCAATATTGGTCAACTGTTTACGATAGCAATCTGACTTCTGGCTTCAGGAATGTAAGACTTCGCATGACCCTCCACGAATATACCTTGTATACATTTAAAAAGATATTATTTTTATAAATAACCAGTCTATGGGATACTTTAATAAGAATTTCTGATTTAAAAATAATTGAAGATAAAGAAAGAAAATATATACGACACGATTTTTTAATGTTTCTGGTCCGCAGACGGCTGGAATGTCCTCGACGTTATCAAAGCCATAACTACATATCTGATTTCGTAACACTGTGTAACGAAATTTAGAAACAAAACAGAACCGGCAAACATTAGAAACGGCAGCACAAACGAAAACAACAACAATTACGTTGATGATGAAAAACCCGCGCTTACGCACAACAAAGAGCAGAGAAACGACCGGCAACAACAACAACAAAAACCCAAAAACTTCGAAAATAAATTCCTTAACCGGAAATAACAGAACAACGGCAACAACAACAAAAACAACCACATCAACTATAACAGCGGCAATAGCACGAAATAACCTTTTGGCACAAAACCATCACAGATGAGAGAAATAATTCGACCCACAGCTAAAAAAAACCGACAGACTGAGACGCACACACACACACACTCACACCCAAACACATTATCATATCGAAAGAAGAGCGTTTATCTCAACAATCGCATCCGAACGAAAGCATTCAATTTGCTGTTGTTGCTGTAATTGTTAGAATATAAATGTGGCCGCTGTTGTTGTTGGAGTTTTTTCCTTGGTCTGGTTCGCTGGCATTTGGTTTTCCTCCACAACGATTGCTGGACTGGACTGATGGTGGTGGGTTTTCCGTGCAACGTCCCTTTGGCAATTCACTACAATTTGTGGCACTCACATACACACACACTCACACCCATGCAAACAATCACACACACGCACATTGTGCCAAACTACCAAACTTCCATTTGATTACGGTCGCTCTCATATTTAATTCGACACCCATTCTCGGGGCGCATATCGCAAAAGTTGAGTCGGTGTCGATTCCTTCTGCGTTTTCCCATAACAACAAAAACAGAAGTGGAAAAACAACAACAACGACATTCGATGTTCAACAATTCTCCATATCTCTGGCATTTTGGCCTTCGTCACAAATACGAAAATGTGGACCAAAAGGAAATCCCCAATAACAAAACAGAAAATACGAATAAATGCTATGCCACGATAAATAAGGCAAAACGAAATCCGACTAAGGCGGCAGCCTTGCTTTAACTTCACTATTTTGCTGCTATGCTCCCCATCACCTCTGCTCTGGATGGGGGTAGGGTATATGTTGCATTCACAACTAAAGTTGAGTTGTTTGTTGTTGGTAGGTAGTAGTGCATTCATTCGGTTGTTCGTTAGTTCGTGCTACTCCACAGAACAATTTTGAAAAGGCATTATATACTCGTGAATACATACAAACAGACATACATATAGTGTAATAATGTACATACATAGTTTGTATGTTCGGTGTGTTTATGTTGTTTGTTATGTGCATGTGTGTGTATGTATGAATGTACCGAAAAGTATCTGTAAGTACGTGGTATGGTGTGTAGTTGGGTAAATGGCAATGTTCACGGATGAACTGTGCAGTACATGAACAATGAGTAGGGTTGCCATGAGATATATTCATTTTTCTAATTCTGGAATATAATATTGTATTAACATTAGGGGAACAGAATAGATTTTAGGGAGAGGGAGATAAACACTTCAAAAAGTCTAGGAATTGCTTTACTGTTCTCATACCTCAAAGGGAATTTTCAAAATAAAAAATGGGATAATAGGAAAAATATAAAATCTTCATAGGCGATAGCCAGATGGAAATCCTATAAAATGTTCACATAATTGAATCCTGGATAAGATAACAGCAAAAAGAAATTAAGTGTTTTTACCAAGGCTTAGTAGAGCTTCTGTTATGCGATTTACAGACAGAGTGTGATGTCTTGAGATGTTACTGCAATATTAGACACTGTGGGTTACGATACTTGTAATACAAGTTGAAGACTTAGTGTATGCCAAAACATTTCAAAATTCCGATATTGTGGGATTACCCTACCTACATCTTCAGATAATCACTATAACACAAACTTGTCCATCACAACTTCTGATTGTTAAGAAGTCTTGTAAGGACTTGAAAGGATGGATGAACATTAATGTTCTAGTTCTACGTTCAATCCCGTAACTAACAATGACCACTGAAAGGTCTTATTTTTATGATACTTGAATTTCCTGTCTGTACGAAAGGTCTTTTACTGGGATACTTCTATAAAAAGTTTTCGGTT